AATTAGAGATAAACAGGTGATTCTCAATGAAAACTTTAAAAGTAGGCTAGAAAACTCGAAAATTTATGTCTATTCGTATGATGCCAATGACGGTCTGCATGTGTGCATCTGACACTGTAAATTTGTGATATATAGATTATAGTATGTTAACACAATATAATGATTAATAGAGACCCAAAAAAGGCTAAAGTCATACTATAATTACCGAATACGAATTATGTACTAAATCCAGATAAACCAATGACTGAAATTTCCTCTATAATATAGACATTTCTCCTCTGTTCGGCTATTATCAAATGTTTACATTTGCTAATATTGGGTCAGTCCTAGACATACTGATTACTGTTTCTTTTAAAAAATGTTATCTTGTAAACAAGACGCGTAGTAACAAGTGAATCGGTACAAAGCGTATCAACGTTTACAAGAAAGGGCGAATGTAATGGTGTATTTTAAGGTTTGTTATAACCGCGCTCGATTGTGAAGAGAGCATGCATTGAATAACAACACGAGAGAGCATGTACTGCGAGTAACGATTTGCTTTGTTTCTTGACTTGACTGTAAGTAAGAATGTAAGAATGTTCTTGTAAATAAACAAAAATTAGCAAGTATTTTGAACGTAATAATTCGCAAAATTTATGTTTTTAACGAATATCCCACTGGAAGCATGTTTATGTAATTTGATACTTTCCCCACACCCCCTCAGGCGCTAAATTTTTGATGAGGCACGTGACCAGCCGCAGCCAGGGTCTTTCCCAAAGAAAGATCCTGGGTACGAGGTTGAGCCTTTATCATGTTTCATGTATACTAGTAACATCGAGTACAAAGTCTCGGAAAATATTAGTCCAACAAAGGAGGAATAAAAGGAGAACACACACTATCAAATAGGCAAGTCAATTTCATTTTAAAATTTATATTTTACGACATATTTTTACTATAATATATAATATAATATAATATACATTTATACTATAAAGTCTATACTGACCCTTGCGAGATTGGGCCGCCTGTGGTTGGGGTTGCTTTAACGCAATCAACCGAAGCTCTGCTGTCAATGCGAGCTACACAATCAAGTTCAGACGCTGAACATAAACAACAACTTGGCAAGCTGGTGACGTATAACACCGATGCCTTGACAATGCTTGGCCATATTCATATGGAATTATTGAACCGCCGCCGTGAGTTGATCAAGCCGAATTTAAACAAGGAATATGTTTCTTTGTGTTCGCCTCAAACTCCCATAACGGAGCTCTTATTTGGCGACGATTTACAGGCTCAAATGGCCAGTATCAAGGCCGCAAATAGGATTAGTCAGTCTACTACAAGTAGTTCGAAATTTAATCCCAACACGCGGAGCCCCTTTGAAGGTGCAAAAAACCGCTTGAAAGGGAAACAGTTTGCACACAGCAGCCACACCAACGGTAAGCCTTTTTTATGGCAAAATCGGGGCAACAATTATCGCCCCTACCCGCAGAACAAACCAAAGTTCCCAGCGGGCAAGAAAAAGAGCTACCAGTGGCAGTGACTGAGACGACAACAAATTTTCCCAATATTTCCCAGGTAAACGTTTTAACTGTTAATACACTTGTATCATATTTCCAAAGTAAAGTTGCTTGCTTTAAGGCAGGTAGACTCAGTCTATTTTATAATGAATGGGAGAGTATAACCTCAGATGGTGAGGTTTTGCACATGATATCAGGACAGAAGCTTGAATTTTCGAAACAACCCTATCAGTTGTACGTTCCGCGGGATAAATCAATTATCAATGCCTGCTGGGATTCTGACCAAACACATACGTGTGAGGTAGAGATACAAAACCTGCTAGAAAAGGGTGCTATAGTACCTTGTGAACATGAGAAGGGAGAGTATATCTCACCAATCTTTACGACCCCCAAAAAGGATGGGTCATCAAGGATGATTTTAAACCTTAAAGGTTTAAACCAATTTATAGAATGTCGCCATTTTAAAATGGAATCCTCTTCTATTGTAAACATGGTAAAGCCCAACTGTTTTATGGCTAGTATAGACCTAAAGGATGCCAATAGCAGCAAAGCATCAAAAATATTTAAAATTTTCATGGGAGGGACAACTATATAAATTTGTTTGCTTCCCAAATGGCCTGGCATTTTGCCCCAGGAAATTTACAAAGCTGTTAAAGCCAGTTAATTCCCACTTGCGGCAGCTGGGACATATATCGGTCAGCCACATAGATGATTCTTATTTACAAGGTGACGATTATGATGACTGTGCCAACAATGTTTTAGATACAACTAGGCTGCTTGATTCTCTGGGGTTCATTATACACCCTGATAAATCATCATTTATACCAAACCAAGTAGTAACCATCCTTGGTTTTAAGATCAACTCAATTGTAATGAGGGTCTTTCCAACTGCAGAAAAGATAAAAAAGATAAAGGCATCATGCTTAGAGTTGCTACACAGTCCATCACCCAGTATTTGCCAGGTTGCATCAGTGTTAGGATTATTAATCTCTAATTTTCCTGCTGCCCAATTTGGCCCTTTGCACTTCAGAGATCTGGATATGGATAAAACTGAGGCACTCAAACAAAATCAAGGAAATTTTGATAGACCTATGAAGTTGTCCAAAACATCATGTGCTGATTTACACTGGTGGATTAATTCAGCTGACAGTTTATTTAAACCTATTGCCCTCAACCACCCAGATGCTACTTTATTCACTGATGCATCCAGTCAAGGTTGGGGTGGGGTTTTAGGTCAACAAAAAAGTGGGGGTCATTGGACTGCACTTGAAGCCAGTCACCACATAAATTATTTGGAAACGCTTGCCGTTTTCTTTGCCCTTAAAGTATTCCAAACAAAACTGTCGGGAAAACATGTGTGTGTTAGGATAGATAACATGACTGCTGTAGCAGACATAGGTAAACTGGGTACCAGTCATTCTCGCAAACGCAACACTTTAGTTCGCGAGATTTGGGATTGGTGTATTCAGCATGATATATTTCTAACTACAGCACATATACCAGGCCTTGAGAATGAGGCAGCAGATGCAGAATCTAGAAAGCCCTTGAAAGAAACTGAATGGGCTTTAAATCAAGTAATCTATCAACAGGGTATCCAACTGTTGAATATGACTCCCGTTATTGACCTATTTGCTTCTCGACTTAATTATAAAGTTAAACCTTTTATTGCATACCAACCAGACCCTGAAGCTCAAGCTGTTAATGCATTTACAATTTGTTGGAAACCATATTTATTTTATGCCTTTCCTCCATTTAGCATAATTCCTTTAGTACTACAGAAAATTCGAGAAGAGGAGAGCACAGGGTTACTTGTTGTTCCAAAATGGCCTGCACAGCCCTGGTGGCCATACCTAATGCGGATGGTAATTCAGGTTCCAGTAATTCTCCCCAACAAGGAGAACACTATATACATGCCCAGCAAACCAGACCTGATCCATCCTCTGTACCCCAAGTTAACGTTACTGATGTGCCACATTTCAGGGGATCCTTTGAAAATAAAGGACTTTCAGAGGGGGCTTTGTCTATCATCTTGTCCTCGTGGAGGAAAAGCACACAAAGACAGTATATACCATACCTCAACAAATGGCGTCGGTACTGTCGTTCAAGGGAACTGGATTCCTTTTCAGCAACTGTGGAAGAAGGAGTGACCTTTTTAGCTGTGCTCTACGATGAAGGAATTGGTTATAGTGCGTTAAATACGGCCCGAAGTGCCTTATCAACTGTCGTCACACTCCCAAACAATCAGACATTTGGAACCCAGCCACTAGTAACTCGTTTTATGAAAGGGGTTTTTGAGACAAGACCTTCATTACCCCGTTATTCTGAAACTTGGGATGTTAATGTTGTGTTGGATTATTTAGCTGGTCTGGGTCAGCCGGAGGAACAGGATCTTAAAATGTTAACTTATAAAACTGTTATGTTGTTAGCTCTATTAACCGGCCAACGTCGCCAAACTTTACATGCATTGAATATTACTACCATGCATGATTTAAATCGGGAAAAGTGTACCTTTATTATTACGTCGTTACTCAAAACTTCTCGTCCTGGTAAACACTTAGCGTCGATTGAAGTTCAGTCATACAAGCTTGACAGGAAACTATGCCCGGTTGCACACATAGAAGAGTATGTCAAACGAACGACCGATTTGCGAGGCAATCGGCATAGACTTTTTATCAGTCACCAAAAACCCCATAAAGAGGTTTCAGGAGATACTGTTAGTCGTTGGCTCAAAAACACCTTGGACCTAGCAGGTATAAATACTGCAAAATTCGGAGTTCACAGTACTCGGGCAGCCACAACATCGGCAGCAAAGGCTATGAACATGCCTATTGACATTATCATGCAGAGTGCAGGATGGACACAAGAATCGACCTTTGGGAAATACTACCACAAACCAGTTGTAGCACGAGAGAATTTTGGTAACATTTTGTTAAGTAATAAAGGCAAATGAACAATTGCCTAAGTGTTTCATGGGCATATGCTAATGTTTGTTTAATGCATCAATTAAAAACTGGTGTCTTATGTTTCACTTATTGTGTACTCGTACTGCTTTAAAATCTCATATTACGTCATATGACTCCGTAGCGACCAAGACCAATGACGAAACAGAATTCAGAAATTAAACGAGACTTACCTAAGTTGAAGTTTGATTTGGATTTTGTGAGTTATTGGTCGGGAGCGAAGGAGTCATATGCCCACCCTTATATGGTGATCCCACCCACATTTGGGTACGAGTACTCTCTGGTTCTGTTAAATACTGATCTTCCGGTTCGCGCGCTTTCTCATATTACGTCATATGACTCCTTCGCTCCCGACCAATAACTCACAGAATCCAAATCAAACTTCAACTTAGGTAAGTCTCGTTTAATTTCTGAATTTATGTGTAAACATTTTCAATTAACATGCGTTGATATCAGATTTTGTTGCAAGTTCCAGAAATTTTGTTGCTCGTGTAACTCCACCTTCCGGTAATTCCGCAGTTTTGCATTGCGCACTTTTACTGCGCACATCTTATAACTTATAATTTATAATTTCATCCATTATACGTACCGTTTTAAAAAAAATCATTTTATGACAATTTTATGTTACTTCAAAACATATTTGGTTACATTCGTGCAAAGAATTACGTTAAAATCAATGTTTTCAAAAAAGGCATACAAAAGTGTAGCTAGGGTTCCCTGTGTCTGTAGTATATTTATTTACTTGTATTTCACGTTTTAATGCCACAATTCCCTAAAAAGATCGGTGACCCCCGTTTTTTAACTGATAATTTATTTCTTTAATGCATTTTACATTTCATATCCGAAATTAAAAGAAAAATCATTTCTGGATCTTGAAAAAAAAATGCTTTATCAATGCATGTTCTCAAAGAAAGATATGTAAAAAAATGTGGAAAGACATTTGTGGATTAGAATTGTACACGTTAGTTGTTTCATTTTGCTCAAAACACAATATTTTTTCAAAAATAATTACAAGATAGGTTTACTAAAGCAAAATCCGCGCTAAAAACGTCAATAAATATCGGGCTGTTGTGATTTTGCTGTTACTCGTAATGAGCGTCAAGATGGCGCCATATTGGGGTAAAGGTGGTATATTGTGACTGTCATATCTTCTTAACGAGTTCGGTGACCCCGACTTTTTTGTGTGATTTTACTTTAAGTATATCATAAACTCCATGCCTGGGAAGTTTCAGCACCTTCTCATTTCGGGAACAATTACTGAGGAATTACCTTAAGTTTCAAAATTTTAAACAGGGTTCGTACACCTTCCATTTAGAATTCCATGACTTCCCATAACCATTTTTTTCAAAATCCATGACCTGGAAGTCTGGAATTTCTGAAATTCGTTAATATTTTAACGATAACAGATATAATAAAAGAATAAAATTCACTTCGCTCTTGCAAAAATCCATTATATAACAATTCATATTATTGTTATGACTAGTAAATTGAAATAAGTAAAATACTTTGTTAATGATGTTTTGTAAAATTTCAATTTTCCATGACTTCCCATGACTAAAATTGATTTTCCAGGATTTCCAGGCCTGGATTTTGGAATATTGAAATTCCATGACTTTGCAGGTTTTCCAGGACCCGTACGAACCCCGTTTAAACCCGTTTTTCCTCTCCGACTTCTCTCCTTGAGTGGGTGCGCAAGCCATAGCATGCTTTTAATTAGGGGTACTAGCTTCACTCACATTTCCCAGGATATATATCATTTACTTTCTAGGTGACTAAAGAGTTGAGAACGCTCACAAGTTGGATTGAATACCTGGACATAAAGTATAGTTCATTGTAAACCTTAAGATCTTGCGGGGAAACTAGACGAACACGCGTGTTTATGTATGTAAATAGTTTTTGTATTGGTTCTTCTGAGAACGGTAAAAAATATAAAAGTAGAATTTTATGAGAATCCCAGACTTGAAAGGTCGGAATTGTACTCGTATATTTCAGTGTGGTATATTTGTCAAGTAATATATGAACGAGAGCGAGTGTTTCACCGGGATATCCAAACACGAGAAAACAAACGAAAACATTCTGTTACGTCTCGATTCATTTGAGAAGCCATATAAACAACTCGAGCTCATGTCTCACCGGGATATCCAAACAGCCGATTTGAATAGAATTCTGAACCAAGCTTAACGTAATTGCTGCCGCAGCGAGCGAGCCTGAAGCGAGCGAGCAAGGCAGCAGATCCTAATTTTGTTTTGTGGGTCGAAATCAAAATTTTCTATTTGGCGCATTGCATGACGGTACCAGTGAGTTTTAACCGTAGTGCAGCGCGGTCAGGCATAAGGCAAACAGGCAATGTGATCATCTTTCATAATTTATTTGGTCTTCTTTTATGGAAAGCCATAGCTGGCTTGAACTTTAAAGTGATCAAACGGCATTTTGTTGGGTTCTTTTAGCATTATACGGCGGTGCTTTCGGCATTATACACGGTGCTTTCGCCATTATACGCGGTGGTTCCAGCATTATACGCGGTGCTTTCACCATTTACATACGCAGTGCTTTTGCAATTATACGCAGTGGTTCGAGCACTATATGCGGTGCTTTTAACATATATACACGATGGTGCGATGCTAGCTTTCATTCAACATTATTTCCATATTCTTTCCATGACATGTTTATGTGGTTGACAAATGCTTCGGCCTATGGTCTGCAAGGACAATGACATGCTTTTCTGTGTATATAAATGAATATAACGCAGCGAATGTGCCAAACCGTATAAACGCGGCTGAAATACGATATTAAAATCTTGAATGTGCCGCCGTATGATTTAAAGCGAACTACATTAAATAGTTGCCATGGTAACGGCCAAAAACAACGAGACAAACAAGAGTTTGCGGAAAGAATATCTCAAGAACAAAAATAGTTATCAGTTCCAAATTTTGTGTGATAAGTTCTTATGTCCTATAGCATGTTTTAAGTAGACAGATTTTCATTTTATCAAATCCTTCTGTCCGAACGCTGAAAAAACACTGTTTCCATGGTAACCATGGTAAAACAACAAATTTTGAAAAACTGTCTACTTAATACATAAAGTATCATGAGCTGCACTTACAGTCCAAAAATGGGGCGAATTCATCAAATTCTCTTCCCTCTAGGCTTTCCACAAAACGGTGGAAGCAAAACTTGTTCGTTTTGAGAAAATCAAGGTTAAACTCACGAAATGTGAAAGTTTTTATGCATATGATATACCATTCAAGTAACACAACTGAAGAGTTTTCAAACAACAATACGAAGATTAACTATACTCTGCACTAACAAAATTCCACAATAGAGCATAGAACAATAACCAAGGTTAGACACGGCTGGTGACGCTTTTGATCGCCAACGTTCCAACATATTTTCTACAAACATTGTTTGTGTTTCATGGTTTCACATTATAAAGACTTCGGGGCCAAGAAGGGCGGTGGCCAAGTGGTTAGCGCACTTGCCTTTCACCTCTGAGGCTGCAGGTTCGAGTCTCACTAAGTACCTTCTCAGTGCGACTCGAACCCAGTCCCCATGTGAAAAGAGTAAAAGTCAACGCTCTGCCGAAAGCCGTGGGTTTTCCCCGGGTACTCCGGTTTCCTCCCACAGGGAAAGTTGACAGGGTGGGTTAGGTAAAAAGGGCCCACAGTAATTGGCATATGCTGTTGTGGTGACCCTGCCCTAGTTGGCAAAGCTAAATAAATAAATAATAAAAGACGTGAACTATTAAATGACCATGGATTGTAAAATAATTGTAAACCATGGATTGTTTATTTTACAATCCATGATCAAACGTTGCGTTGGCGAACTGACATAAGAATGTGAGGAAACGTTGGCGAATCGACCCAAGACGTTGGCGAACTAACAGTTGGCGAAACGCCTCGTTGGCGAAACGACCGGTTACCATTAAATGTCCTTGCATGTCATTGTCATTGCCCTTTAACCCCTGGTCTAATTGGCCGCTTTTGAAAATGTTGATTGATGACGAACCGCACTGCAGTTAATTATGCAAACTTTGTGTTTTGAAAACGGGTTAGGATAAAACGCGGATACGGACGGACGGATGAATGACGGACGGATGGCGACGGACGGACCGGACGGATGACATATATATGTCATTATATAGTCTGCGCGCAGCCGCGCAGGGTAGTTAGTGCCTTACGTCTTCGCCGGTTGTTATACTTCAAAATAATTTTGTATATACCGAGAAATGAATATTCCGAGTATATAAATATATAAACTGGGATATCACACTGATAGCTTGTTTAAATTTCCTGGAGCATCAAATCTTATTTTTAACCACGGTGGTTTAACCCATTAGCTGGCAATGCACCCTCCCCTTGTCCAGCGCCAGAAGATTTTACTCGTCAGTGGTATAGGGTACTGCCAGTAAATGAGGTAACAAACCTATCTGCCAATGGCTCTTGTTAATCCATCAGCACAGTAATGACCCCTACTTTAGTATTTACCCTGTCCAACGCCAGACGATTTTTAATACTCAGTCAGTGGTAGGGTACTGTCAATAAATGGGTTAACAAGGATAACAATAATAGGATGTTTCTGAAGGAGTCGTTCAACACCCTGTAGTTTGTCTTTTGCTGTCAAAGGCAGCATTACTGCCCTGTGGGTAACCTAGTTAGGAATTCTATTCAAGTAATTTTGCATGCGTAATTAAGATATTTGATTAAAACACTAGTGACTTTCATCAAGTTTCACCGGGTTATCCAAATGGCATGTTGTGATCAAATAGGTGATTATCATTGGCTGCTGAATTGCTCATGAATTATTAATGAATTTGAGAAGGTTACAGGACACCCTTTTCGCGGGGATGGATTTACTGGGGGGGATGCATGCTCACCCCCTACCCTGGCCAGAGCGGGTGCAGGCTGCTATTTTGCATAAAGCAATGAGATAAAATGAGATACAGTCATTTGAATAACATGATGATAAGCGAACTGTGAACAACAATTACAATTCAAATATTGTAGTCAAGCTAGTATGCAGTAGTCAAGCAAGTCGATGGGAACCCCTACCAGATCATGCTGGCCCATCCCTGCCATTTTGCGGAAAATCGCTACTGCGCGCTCAATATCAGTACGATTTTCATCAAATGTTCGCCAGTGCATGCAAAACATGATAAAGTTGTAAAATGACAAATAAAATAATGTAAGAATTATTCAGGAAAGTATTAATTCGCGGTAGCTTTACACTTTTGAGTTGTTTTCCTGTTGGTTTTAAGATATATTTATGAAAATATCATTTCTATACAGTAAAATAGTTGTTCTACAAAATGAATCGTTCGAGTGAATTGCTCCTTATAAAAATATAAAAAAATAAAGTTCAGTGCGGTCTTATTTTGAAGAGAACAGCCGATTTTCGTTCAAACATCCCCAACAAAGAACGCTGACAGGGAAATTAGACCGCGGAGAAAAGACCCGCGAAAAAAACCGCGACAATTAGATAAATGTTTTTTTTATCTCGCCAACTGTAAGAACAACTGTTGATGTAGGGCAAGGAAACAAATACAGTATTGACATTTTTTAATTTCAACTTGTTGCAGTGTCTTATCTGCAGAAAAATAGAATCTATTACCTTATATTACAATATATTACAATGTTTGTGCTATATTTAAACTCTATTAGTCTATTGTCCTATCCATACATGTATGTGTTAAAATGCCTCTGACCCACAATATTTTGTCAATTTTAATGTGTATATAGGTTTTGTAGACAGATATCATTCGTCAGACAAGTTGAATAGGCATCATGTCCATATTACTAGTAACCTCGTCGGACGATCAGGGCCTCACAGGCTGCACTGTTAGTATACATTATTTCAGAACACACATAATTGATTTAAAAGTTGGGGTTAGTGACATTTTAACACAAATTTCAAAATTTTAGTGTTGACGAAGTGGTTTCGATTTGGCATGACAAGTTGGCCGATGTAATACGGTATCGATTCACATCGGTGATGATGGAGGACTTGTTCACGATAGCCGGGACTAAATGTGACACTCATTCCCACGCGAAGCAACTTGCACGTTCTCTGTACATATTTAACCAATTTGGCAACTCTAATTTCTTCTATAAGAATATTTCGATTTTTTATCGTCTCTTAAAATTTTCCAACAATTTCACTCTCTTCTATTCTTTAACGGCCAGAATAATAAGGCTACTTCCGGAGTAGCCAACGTTAAACATGACCAATGGTCGATGAACAAACTTCTGGTTCAATACCAGGCTCAGCATGGCTGGCTGGCTGTCTTCACCTCTCTTGACCAAATCACTCTATAGTAGCTGCGTCGTCCAGGACATTGCGAGCGTTAATAACATACAAATCAACAGAGTTGAACTTGAATACGAAGACGCTGCTTTACTCTTTAGTTTTTTAGATAGACTTGGTTCATTCAATTGAACTGCACGGAATGATGATAAGATTTCATCGGATGTAAATATTGGACTTTGAGTGTTGATTAAAGTTTCGATCTTCTGAGCTTCTTTGTTGCAGATAAGAAACTAATACAATCAAAATGAAAAATACTATTAATTGAACGGTTGTTTTTTGTGGTTGGGCACTTTGTTTTATACCCAGTGTTTTCAGCATGTCCTCACCCTTATACACGATTACACGGAACCGGAAGTGCAAGAAAACTTGCAGTAGTTTCTAAGGCGCACACCCTTGAATTGGGACGCTGCAACACCCGTAACATTTTTCAGACAAGTATTGCGAAGTATTTGTGTTGACATGTTTTGACAGAAAAATTTTCCCTAGCGAAAACTGCTCAACTTCTGCGAAATAGCAGTTCTCTGACAAGCCAATCAGATCTCTCCCTTTAGTCGTCTATAACCCAGAGCCAAATTTTCGACGAGTGACCGAATGAAAATGGCTCTGGGGACGAGAATGTTCAAATCTGAAACAGGCCTAATTTCACAAACATTTTCTAAACCACGCCATACAGCTGATCATCTCAATCTATACCTCGAGCTACACAGCCCCACCACATGCTTGCTTTGCTCCCGGGGGATAACTACACAAATGCAGGTGTCACATCACCTTTAAACACTGTACTAACCTGAAGCGTGGTTGGCTTTTCAGTGATTGTCTTCACCAGTAGTATGAAGTCATTATATGTGTTGTAGAAACCAAATACATCGCACTCGCTCTAAAAATGGAGAAACTAAAATATTACACTACAACCGTTAAAGAGTTTGAGAAAGGCTGCTTTCCAGTCACGCGTTTTTCATACGCACGGAAAAGTTTAAGTCTTTTTAAATGTTACTTATGAAAATAACTGAATGAATAAAAGAAAGCATATAGTTTTGTGAATGACTTAATGTGCGTTTGTACAGGTAATTCATCCTAGTGTTAAGTTGAAAAAGATTTGAACTTTTCCGTGCGTATAAAAACGTGTGACTGGAACGCAGCCTTAGGTGGTAACTGCTAGAGGTGTGCATCGGATCGGACGTTTATAATCCGACAGTTGCCTAATGTTTAAAATCCGATCCGAAATGGTCGAATCCGATCCGAGTTTTGAAAAAGAATTCCGATCCGAAGAATTCTTTAATAAAATAAATTTCTCATTCAAGTTGAAATATTTAACCAAATAAATATAAAAGCAAGAAATACATGTCAAGAAGCTGACAAAGTGACGTCCAATTGAAGTATCAAACGAATAATGCAGCGACAACCGCGATGCTACTTTGATAAATGCATGGATAATTCATTCTTGCGATAATGCGTGGATAATTAATTCATTTTATTTCGGATATCGAAGTCCGATCCGACTACGAAACAACTTTATCAATCCGATATGAATATTTTGGTTCCGAAATCTGATCGGATTCGGATCGGATTTGCACACCTCTAGTAACTGCTAATTTGACTGGGCAGTGAGCAAACCGTACAGTTTATTTGCCACCTCTCAAAAGCATGAAAATGTAAAATACGAAAAACCTGGAAAGCAACCTTAAATCTGACGTTTTACGGCAGACTGCGAACGGCAATCTTCGCGTCGTATTTTGAGATCAACTGTTGGCTGTTCTAAGCTAGGGGCAATTTGTGCATTAAAACTGAAGCATGAATTACCTCCTCAGGTGTTGAGAAAATGCACTTTGCATTTTTAACTCGTTCTAACACGTTTTAAAACGTTCTAACACGTTTTAATCGACACGTTTTAATCGACACGTTGTAATACGGTTCTAACACTTTCAAACACGATTTGAAGTTTGCAATTAGCAGTCTGCTGTCAATCTTAAAGTCTCTAACTTATTAATACAGCAAAATGATAACCAGTGTAAGTTCTTACCATTGATAGATGCCTTCGCACTCTTGCAACAACTTGCAGTTGTGTGATTGGTTGAGAGGTATCCATCACAATTTTGTTCGTCTTCGAAATTTCTTTTTCATCAAATATAACTGTCAATTGCGTGGCTATAAATGCAGAAAGAAAAGATTATTCACTCGAACGACTTTCGAACTAGTTCGCTTTCAAATATTTCAAGTAAAAACTAGCAAATTTTAGTTTCATATCACATAGATATACTATTGTAAATATCTTCCTGTCCCCTCCCCAGTCAAATAGGTGCTTTCGGGAGTTTGGCAACCTAGAACGGCAACGGCAAAAATATATTATATATACGGCATATTTGAGCCAAAGTATGCATTACTCCACACTTAATTTGCCTCTAAGTATTCCTGTTTCTCTCAAACAGCCCTAAGTAAAAATAATCCGCGAATTCAAATAAAACACCTCATATAACATCGAACGAATTAACTGTTGCCGTAGTCAAGAGTTCAACTTTGGATCCGATGTTATTTTCTACAACATGTCGATAACTTCAGCAGGAAGTAAGAGGAAGTAAGAGGAAGTGCACTAAATCACAAAGGAGAATTAGGTCCTGAGCACTCACCACAGACTTCACAACAAGCCCCAGGTGGCGTGACACCAACACAAGTCGGTGGATTTAAAATTGGACATTTGATGTGAGCACATCTAACTGTTGGATCTTTGTCTAAAAATGTAATAAAATTAACACAAAATTAATATTTGTTGCCACACACACCAGAACACACGGTCCAAAAGGAGCGGCAACACTTGCCGAAATTAATTTCATAATAGCGTCCCAAAACCCCAAATGGAAATCGGGACCATTGTATCTGGTCGAATGTATTCGTTTCCCCGCTTAGAAGTTAATTTTGGCAATTGATTTGACTTTAGACCACAAGATGATATCCCCCCAAAGCTGAGAACAACTTACAAACAACACTGCACGAGGAAAACTTACTTCCATATTTTCCAACAGTTTTACAAGGTCCTTCATAATCCAACAACATACGGGCATGTTTTAACGCACATTTACTACTATACGTCTGACCATCAACACCACAAACTTCTTGCATGCCAGGTACACAAGAAGGCTACAATAGAAAAAATATCAGACGTTAGCGACAACTTGAGACTTGATATAATACGTGTGTAAAGGCAGTGGTGAAGCAAGCCATACAGTTAGCAACAGGTCTCAGGTATGCATTTCAAACCTTAAGAAATACAGTATATTGTCTTTAACCTATTTAGGTGCAGAGTAATAGCGTAGCATGACCAGTTGCCATGGCTAGCTTCACCACTGTGTGAAGGCCAGCACGATATAGCGGCAAGTAAATTCAGGATAAATGGGCAATCAATTTTCACGACAACATTGTCCGGACCATAACGGCAGCTATATGTCAAACTATTGTGTATCGTACGATTTTATTTATAATTCTCTCTATACCGTGCAGATATTATGTGGAAATATCTCGTGTAATATACGTACGTTGCACTTTCCAGCATATGCTATTTCTTTCTCATCTCGTTGAACCTCGCACTTGCTAGAATGTTGCTGGTTCTCCGTATCACAGAGAAGCCGAGTTGAAGAATTCGTACAATTCTGAGGTCTTTTTACTAAAAAATAAACCAATTACAACGTTACTTACTATGGAAATCGGGAGTACAATTTGTGCACATTACAATTTTCTGACAAATATTCAAGTAATTTATAATTTGTTTTCGTGCTCCTTTTTAACAAGCGCATCCAAAAGTGATTTTTGTATGAAAATTCAGGCAGTACATATAACTGATTTAAACTAATTATGTAAAGCATATTCCGAACTTACTGCAGATAAACTGCGGGCAACTGGACATGCTGCCAACACAGACTTTTCTATCCACAACACACCTAGTAAACAAGAAAAAGGACAGTATTAATGAATGGGTAATATCAACAATGTTAATGTTTTCACTAATGCCACTTATTAAGTTAGAGTTAAACTTACAATTTATCATCTGAACAAGGTGAAGGATCACATGGATATATTGACGAACATTGTCCTTTTACAATTTGCTTTGTGTTGACATCCGCACAATTGCTAATAAAAAATAAAAATAAGGCTCAAGGTCTATAATGTATATTGAACTACGCAATAGGGTTGGGCGATATTTCGATTTTTATCGCGATATTTTCAATCGCGATTATTGTATCGAAGGTAGAAACTTGAGCGACGATATATCGAAATTATCATCATGCTCGATGACTATCGTGATATTGCTTCGCATGTGTATATAGCTTTTATAAATCCTAAAAAAGTATTTTCAATTCCTAGAAAATATAGTTTTTAAAAGAATTAAAACTATTTCCTGAATTAAATACGAATTCAATACGATAAAATGAAATGAAATTGCAGGCAAAACAGCGAATGAAATCACAGGCGAACCAGCGGAGACAAAGTAGACACCACATAGACAGTTCTGGTTTATGAACAGTAAATATTAGACTAGAAAAAGCCTTCATATTACTTTAACTTGTTGTTTTACTTGTTTTTAGTAAGATTATATATAAGCTTACTATCCCTTGATATTAATTAAAATTGAAAAATGTGGTCATTGTTTTTATTTCATTTATCGCGATATTATCGAATATCGTGCTAATTTCCTTGACAATAATCGTGAGATGATTTTTTAAATATCGCCCAACCCTACTACGCAATATACAGTATCTATGCCAACAAAGTGCCAACGTGCATGGTAGTTTTCCTGGTTAGGCCAGCTTCTTTGCAAACCAAGAAATTTTCTCGTGTGTACTCCAGGGTCAACAAAAACATGTTCGTCACATGTGTAAGCCGATTGCATATATAACCGATTATTATGGAAATATAACAACTCTTTAGAGACCTTGTCAAGCAGAAGTGTGGGTAACTTTTTTTATGCAAAGCATGGTGGAAATAGTGGGGGAGATGCAGCAGTCTAGCACACGACCCCAATGGAAAGTTAGGGCTTAGAATGGGCCAAAGTCAACGACGTGACGCATGCATGCGCATAGTGTACATACTGTATGTATTAGTGTATTAATGAATTATGACTGTACAACTCATCCAATTTTGCCCTTCATTACAATTGCTGCAAAGTTTCTTTCAAAACATTGCATTAAAAGGTACTTGACGCAGAGATGAATGACTATCACTGTTTCAACTTTCTGATGAAGTGTCGACCTTAAGCAACCAAAAAATGTCAAATTTTCACTTTGATCTACTGTGTCATTGAAAATTTTCCAAGGGGAGGTTCATGACTTTTCAGGGGAGGTGAAAAAATTCTCAGGGGTTGTTTCCAAAAATTATGTTAAATTATACATGTGTATAGTTCCACTGCACACATTACACCACTGACATTACATTACCTGGCAAAACAAAGACGACGGTATGTTTTTCCATTTGTGCCACACACTGGCTCGTACTTGCCAAGACACCGACATGAGAGATCTACAGTGAACAAAAATCTCTGTCAAACTGCTACCCTTACTGGCTTTGGATCTATTCCAATATACGGTAAATATACAACAGCAACGATAGTGTTGTCTTCACACTAACTAACACAATTAAACACGTGGCGGAGAAGAAACTAATATTTCAGTGATAGTCTGTATTTCCGATCAGTTTGCTACAACGGTAAACATCAGGATTTTTCAGCATCTTACTCGATGAACTATTGATGAAGGCATTTGTAGATGGAAAGATCGAGTGTAATTTTTATACGTTTATTTGACCTACCAAGAGCAGTTGCGAAAATTGCAACTATAGGGCCCTTTGGCAGGAAATTTAACCTGCAGCCCTACAATTCCGGTGCAGTGCTCTAACCAACTGACTATTTTGTATTTTTTGCAAGTGCTCCTGATATATAAAAATTACACTCAAAATTTCCATCTACAAACCCCTTCAGTAATTAGTTTGCTTTAAGCCTATAATACTGTATTTTACTGTATACATGCAGTACATACCACTGACAGTGTTTTCATCATTCGGTGAATGGTTTCGTCGCAACCGACCTGCAAGCATAACAAGTTATTTGGCTTTTTTGTTGACTAGGCTGGACATAAGTAGAGCAATTTATGTTAAATTTGTTCACCACTCCAAGGTGGTCGGAGCTCTTAGCACGTTTTATGACCCACAATTGACAGGTCTCTGAGGTTATGGTTAAAGAATTACAGTCAACCGTGATGCTTTGCGCGCTAAAATGTTTTGATTGTTTTGTATTCCACCATTTTATTAGCCACTTTAGTGACGAAAGATTGACATCCGAAGCGTATCATATTTTTCATAGTTGGAATATGTTAATAGATCATTGATTGAGATTTTTGCGTGTGTGTTTAGAAAGTTTTCTCATTTTATAAAGTAGATGGCTAATCATGGCTTCTGTATCTCCGGTTCGTGGAAGACTAACAAGTGAGGATATATAAAAAAGAATATCGTTGACAAGTTCAACGTACGCCCTTTGGAAAGAAAGCCTGTACTGGGAATACAGGGGCTTTCGCATAGCGAGTTCGCCGAAATCCTGCTCCATCAAAGCATGGATTGTTATTTTACAATCCATGATCAACGACAAAGCATGGACGAACTGTGGGAACGTAGCTGGCGACGGGGCACCAGCAGGTAAATGTAGTACAGTTTTTTGTTTATAATAAAGCTAATGCATATCATTTTTAGTCTATGACTATTTTCGAAGATAACACTATTTTTAGCTCCCCGTATATGTAAACATTCACATAGCGTGCAAAGCATCACGGTTGACTGTGATTCTTAAAATGCATATGACATGAAATTTCTTATCTTCTTAAATGAAAAAACTCTTTAAGTTGTAGTGTAACTTATTTTTCAGTTTCTTGTTTTTATGGTTTGTTCGCGAGATATTTCAATTTGTTTGATATCAACAATTTTTAGAGTTAATACATTTATAACCAGTGTAAGTTGCGCTTACAACCAACATGACGTCATAAATTAGCGGACATATTCACACTCATTTACATATCAAACAAATTGAAATATCTCGGGAACAAACCATAAAAACAAGCAACTGAAAAATAAGTTGCACTACAACTTAAAGAGTTCTTTCATTTAAGAATATGAGAAATTTCATGTCATATGCATTTTAAATGCCCACGGGTTTTTAGTGAGGGAGGAAAACTAGAGAAAAACCCACCAAGCACAGGAGAGATCCACAGAGATGTTACCATGCAATCCAAGAAAATCCCTGCCTTCTACCTGCAATATAGCAGGCCTAGCAGGCCTTAGGCCTAACTCAGACCCTAAATACATTTACTGCAAATGTATTTATATCACTCATTTAGTGATAATTTGATTTGCCCTTCAAACAAACCTGTGGCATTGTTATCAGCTCCAGGTAGGCATTGAGACTTCGAACAAAGGACTTCGCCATCATAACAAACACAAAAGTTGCAGTTTATTGAAAACTTCTCTTGATGTTTATATGTTTCTAAAACGAAAAACATAGTGAGAAACGTGTTATCTATGTGCAAAATGAATACTATCTCTGAGTAACAAATTTTTATCGTAAATGCTTCAAAAACATTCTGAATTTATAGGAAATTTTTATTTGATTCTAAGACGGCAACGTAAAGACGACGGCTAGCAATACAATGAAATTAATAATATTTAAAAAAAATGAATAATTAAAATGTCAGTTTACAACGGGTAAACCAGAGCTTTTACGTCCTGTGTACAACCAGTGGTGTCAAGAAACGAAGTAAATGTACTTCGTTAATCGTTACTGTACTTGAGTAGTCGAGTACCATTTTTGAGAAGTGAGCATGTAGCAAAGTAAACTTTTTCTGGAGTACTTTTACTTGGAACGAAGTCGTTTTAAGAAGTAACGTTTTACTTCGTTATTTTCATTTTGTGGTATTTCGTTACTTTCTAACTTTTGTTTAATTATACGTGATTTATTTTAATTTTGGGATAGGTAATAGGACCTCTCTACATGCGTCTGGAATCTACCGTTTGTGGCTTATTTATAAGCATTATCTATTGAATGGATTTCGTATATCTTCAAATGGGGTCTGCAAAGTAGACCATGCCGTGCCGTGAAATATTGTACATTAGGTGATGCACGCATGTGTTTGTGCTGTTTTGTATCTTTTGTATGTCAATCCATTGGAGAACCCTTAATGTTAAAAACAATGAGTTCACTGATCTTATAGTATTTTCCTAGTTAGTTTTCCCAATTAAAAGGGTTGCAATGCGCCTTAAAAACCATCATTCAAAAGGCTGAACTGTGCCTTTAACGAACAAGGAGGCTGGACTTATAAAGACACCATTCAGATCAAAGGGTTGACAACCATGAGCTATCTGCTGCACATTAATTCATGTTTTGTGAAACATAACTACGACCTGTAAACCTACTGAACTAACTAAACTTACTGTTGGTTAATTTGTGATCACATGAATTTCTTTTAATACAGCTTGGTAATGTTGTACATATAGGCAACTTTCCTTGTACACAACGACAAATTTTGAAACATCCTTCTAATTTTAAGTTTTGCACTATGGGTAACTACAAAATAACGAAAGATGAAAGATTAATCAGATAAACGTAAATAACACTGTACTAAGTTTCTGCAATTAACACTTACCCGAGCAAAGTCACCATTCTTGATAACAGTTTTAGACTGATGATCAATAGGACAACCTACAATTAATGACAAATGCATTGGAATTATACATCGAAAGATCGTATTCGTACATGTAACCAGGGTGCGATAATTCGCGTACCAACGTACCGGAGGTACGCCAAATTTATGGTCTGGTACTTCTTTGTTTTTGGGCAAGTACCACGTAGGTACGTGGAAATTTGCTATTTGCGTACTTACATTTTCCTTCTAGCAATAACTAGCAAACCTGCCAAAGTAATCAAAACCGTGAAGAACGTTAGCTGTACATGTAAATTCCACGCATCCGACATATTTTGGGATGAAAAACGCCAAATGTTATCTTTGCGCTTGATCAAAAAATTTATCGTCATCGTCCGACTGAAAAAAAAATCGCTCGGGTGAGTGATTTTAAATCGTTATCGATAATTTTATCGTTTTCGTTGTAGTGTGGACACCATAATTTTGCCTAAATTCGTCCGTAGGAACTACGCATCTCTAGTTAATATTGATGTCGGGACTCTACTGAAAATCGCCCAGCAAAAACCCCGCCAAAACCATGAAAAAAATATTCAAAAATTTCCCACCTAGCTACCCTAATGTTTTCGCGATATGAAACCGGAACCACTGGCACTGAACCACAGGTTTTTTTTTAGCCGCCCAATGAGGAAAACTACACTGTATGTAGCTGAGGTCAGACAGTTAGCACCCTCGGTAAATCCACTGTAAATGAGCGATGGCATTCGAGTCACAACGTCGACGCTTTGAGAACTTTTATATTATGTTGTACAAATACCATAATTAAAGATTCATTAGTACAAAATTGCCCATACATTTTTTGCTTTTGGACCAGTAAACTATATATACGTAGGTATAAACACGCATGACTCGGAAGTAGTCTTAGGTACGTCTTGACTCTTAAGTTTGTACCAGATCAGGTACGCGGCAAAAGTTGTTGGAGTACCAGTCAGGTACGGCTAAAAATATTGAATTATCGCACCCTGAATGTATATGTGCTACTCAATCAATATGCCACTTTACAGTTTTTAAGGTTCCAGTGCCTCTTTCAATATAATAGGCGGTCTCACACGAGTATTATACTGTAGCTATGTGCGTGCATGGTTTTACCTGGTGTGCATCGATAGTTTTTGCCATTCTTGCCAGGAATTCCTCGATTGATTTCACACAGATCTTTACTGAATTTACACGGATTGGGATAGCAAGGATGTGTGACTGAAATAATCAAGTTAATGATACATATGAAAACAGTTTTACACAATGGCCTGAATTATACTAAAGATGGGAGTTTGCACGAATCTACATTTGTAACTTAAGGACCTACACATCAAGTCTTCATCAAGGTGAAATATGCCAAGGACGTTTGAAAAATTTACTATACCTCCGTCCGTTTCGTTCTTATACAAGCTGGGCTCTAGATAAATATAGAACATATTTTAGGCAGAAAGTTGTGTTTAGGTCATAGAAATAATAGGTATAGAATACACACTCATATCACTTCTCAGAAAAAAGTTTGTCTCCACAGAATGGTGGATTTATAAGAGCACGTACGAGAAAAAAATGGAGAAAAAAATTTAACACTGGCCTTTGTGTTGCATGGGATGAGCGTAATTTGTAAAGAAAATCAGTTTATCACAACGAAAATGAAAGGGTTGCATCTTTATTGAAAGAGCGAACAATGTCATTACTAATTCAGTAATAGGATATATAATGTCAGCAGAACAATCAAGTCTTTTTCAAATAAGTTAATATAAAGACAATCAGTATGGAAAAAAGTTAATATAAAGACAGTCAGTATGGCACAGAGAGACAGTAATACTACTGTATTGTTGACTCTTATATTCATAACGTGGTGTGATGATTCTTTGTTTTCAACGAACTTTAAATATATGTTATACAGTTATATCCAATTTTAATTATAAACATGTAATACAGTACATAACTATTTATTGATTTTGTTCTCGTTTTCATTCGTATCAATCCAAAAAAGCCCGATAAAACATTAATATAGTAATACATGTAGTGTTTGTGCCAAGTTGATATAAAGCTTTCTAAGATATTGTATAACCATGCACGCCAGAAAATATATGTGATTGTGAAAACCAGCCTCCATACTGTATATAGATTATAGTCACAATAGTCAGTAATTTCTATTATAGTCAGTATTTTCTATTTTTTTGATTTCCTAGCTGAGAATACAAGTCTTCAGCAAAACACTTTATATTCTTACAAACTGTTGTTTTATTGTATGTCCTACCGACCAGTTAAGTGTCATTTCACTACATAATATTATGTGATATGCATACAAACTACTACTGGAGAGATTTTAATAATTAAAAACACATCTAGTTGATAGCCAAATTGGAAAAATCATCAGGCATACAGTACAGTAAAGATGTCTTTTTCCTATGTTCAAGAGACTAGAATTGGCATAGCGATGTACTGTACTCTCTCAGATTATAGTGGTGTGCCCAAATTAGTGTAGCACTGCAGTTTTTACTCAAGCTTGGAATGACAAAATTGTTCGCTAATTTGCTTGAACGTTCAGACGAAGAATTTGTGTCAAGGTGTTCAACTGGGTGTTTTGGGGGCATGAAGAGCTAAATAAAGTTTGTATTCTAATCTCTTTTGATTATTCGTGGGTTTATATTTTCGTGATTTATATTTATTTATCGTGATTTATATTTGTATTACATATGCATATGCCTACAATTTCGCTCCGTCACACGATTAGTCGGAGTTTGGAGGGTTGTAATACCGTTGAAGAGGTATTGTAATTCGATGGAGGATATAACCGTGGGTCGATCGTAGTATTTCATGGCCATGCATGCACTTGGGTATTGACGAATTATCTAACCGAGTTACTATATAAATAATTGCTGTTCTCGAGTGCCGAGAACACTACCTCTCCCTATAAGTACTACATTCACACTTCCGGAGAAGTGGAGATGAGCAAAATCTGCTACGACGCGAGAGAGAAACATGCCAACTATAGTAATAAATTAATATACGAGGATACAGGGAAACTGCTAGCTTGCGTAGCAGGCCCTCCCCCCTAAATAGCAGGAAACTGCAACGGTCGCAATTACGAGAAGGGAAAGAGGGGAGGACCATCCATCGGGATGAGACCTACAGGGGCGAAAAGATGCGAAGGAGGGTGAGGTGGGAAGGAAGCGTTTCTAGCTACCAAGGAGGGGAATCAGTGTGCTGGGCTTTATAAGGTAGGGTCCAGATCCCCTAAACCGACAGACCACTCTGCTCAATTCTTAATATAATTTATTTCATAAACCATTAAACCTCGAGTTTCGTGACACACGATTGTTTTATTTTTCTTGCATGATTTGTCCACATATGGTACAAAATCCAAAGGAACTAATAACATGAAAAATGTATGACGGAGCGAGAAATTAGGGAAAGCATTCACTTTCTTCCAATAAAATCACTGCTCACCTGTATGTACAGTACATAGTCTATCAACTTTCTCTTTAGACATTAATATGTTACTATTTTAACACTCATTAATATGTTACTATTTAACAGTAAATATATGTTATTTACCGGACAGGAGGGCCGTACTGGAAAAATATTTTCCCTCGACCTTCGGTTTCGGGCCACTTCTGAGGACAAGGGAAAATATTTGTTCCAGTAAGGCCCGACCTAAACGGTAAAAAACATTGTTTGATGGTTCATGGTTATAGTGAAATTCAAATCAAATTCCAGTTGCGAAGTACATTTGAGATCAGTTGCGTTTGTTACTTTAGTGTATGAAAAAACATGGCTGGCGAACCATAGGCAGCCCAGCAAATATGTGTATTCACTTAAAAATGCATTGACCGGTTAAAAACCAGGCCTTAAAATATCTTTTACAGGGCCGTCTGACAAAATTTTCATTTGGGTCGGACATATGTCCGATGACCTTCAGTTCAGTTTTGACTTGGAAATAAGTCTGAATGACACAAATGAATATCAGCACAATGTATTAATTCTGAACGGTAAATGTTGTGAAGATATTAAATAATTTGTTTCTTTCATACTTATTTCCAAGCCAAAATTAACTTGCTTTCCAGAACAGCAGTATTAAAAAAGACTTCGACAACTTAAGCCCGTTTTCCACTTCACCATTTCGCTCGCCACCCCGCGCTCGACTACGTTAAAACAATATCTCCAGTTGACCTTCTATACAATAGTACTCTGATTTTCCATTTAACATACAAGCCTCTAGTCCTGGGCTGGGATACATTTTGATTTACGATGGACAAAGCTACAGTTCGGTCGGACACAAATATACTTAGGGCGGATAAACAATAAACCTCAGTTTCACTTAGGTCGGACAGAAATGTCCGGTGGTTTCCTCCCTACGTCGGTCAATTTCACGAATGGGTCGGACAATGTCCATGACCGACCGGTATTTGAAGGCCTGTAAAAATACGTATAAGGTTCGTCTGAATTTGCTATCAAGTGATTTATTGTGTAGCTCATTATATATGCAAATTCCGATGTTTACGTCATTGTATTTTCATATAGGATATAAATATCTTTTAAAACTTTTGTAAATAGCTCTAAATATCACTTTCCTGTACATGTAAAAATATTTTTTACTCACTTACGGCCCTCTATCTACAGTATCTATCTATATACTGTATCTATCTATCTACTGTATCTATATATCTATTGCATTGTATCTATCTGTATAATGATTAATGTATATCTATATATCTATCTATTGAATTAATATATTTAACCCCAATATAATATATTTACCCCCATCGCTAAATTCTGGAGCTATTGAGGAATTTTACGACTATTTCTGCAGCTGCTACGACGCGCTTACAAGTGAAAGTCCGAATCTATCAATTGTTGTTGCTGGGGATTTCAATTCTGTGAGCAACGGTTTTCAGGAGAAGATAATTACGAACAACTGCCGATTAAAGCAGGTGGTGAAGAAACCAACAAGGGGAACAGCAATTCTTGATCTTATATTTAGCAACGCTCACACTTTGTATGAGGAACCGGAGGTGCTTGCCCCGCTTGGTAGTTCTGACCACTGCATGATCGTTTGGAGACCAAGAGTTCGAACAGTGAATAAGAACATAACAAGGAAAATCATTACTCGACCGATAAAGAACTCCAGTCTTCAGTTATTTGAAGATCTTATCAGCCGGCAAAACTGGCCAATGGTATATAACTCTCCTTGCATAAATAGCAAAGTAGATGCCTTTCTGTCTGTTACATCAGAGATGATTGATACTGTTTTCCCGTTGAAAACATTTAAAGTGCATGAGGACGATAAACTGTTTATATCTGGAAAAATTAAACAAATGATTTCCAAAAGAAACAAATTGTATCAGCGGGAAAGAACTGACGATTTTAAATCATTGCGTAATAAAATCGTTTTGGAAATTCGAAAGGAAAAACATAAACTATACCACGAAAAGATTAAACCTGCCCGTGTCCAAGATCCCAAAACATGGTGGAAAAACATTAAAAAAATAGTTGGAAAGAAACAACAAGGCTTTACTCTCATTAATCCTACAACTGAAGCACCATTAAACCCGAAAGAGACCGCTTATCACATGAACGACTTTTTTACTAACCTCACTAGCGACTTTTCAGAAGTAAGAAGTGAATGGCTTCATGTTGGACCCGATGAACGCTTACCATATATTACGTTTGACAGCGTTGTGAACAAGCTAAGCAGCCTTCAAGTAAACAAAGCAGTGGGTCCCTTTGACCCTAACACTATAAGATAATAGATAATCAAGCTATTTGCAAAATACTTTGCAGGGCCTCTAACACACATATTTAATGAGTCCTATTCTTGTCGGCTCTTCCCGGATATATGGAAAGTATCCAAGGTGTGTGGAATACCAAAGAACAAGCCTTGCTGTTCAGTAGATCTCCTGAGACCAATTGCACTAACAAGTACCTTGTCCAAAGTCCAAGAGTCATACGCCACCAAATGGATTTATGAAGATGTTCGGGAAAAAATTAGTGAATTCCAGTTTGGCGGCCTTCCTGGTACATCTGCAGTTCAAGCCTTGTCTATCTACTGCATAAATGGCACTCGGCAATGCACACTCCAGGAAAGGTATTAGAATTGTTTTTCTTGATTTTCGGAAGGCGTTTGATCTTGTAGATCACAACAAGCTTCTTGAGACCTTCACTGGAATCGGTGTACGGCCCGCATTAGTGGGTTGGTTTGCGTCCTATCTACATGGCAGATCGCAATTTACATCATTTCAAGGTGAGCAATCAGACCTGCGAAAGATCAGGGGTGGAGTCCCACAGGGTAGCAAGCTGGGTCCAATAGCATTTATCCTGAAAATTAACCATCTCCCACAAGTCGCTATACCTAATGAGCAGGAACAGATATGTGAAGCATCTGATGATCAAGATATAGCTATGTTCGTTGATGATAGTACATTGTCCGAAGTCATTACCATAACTCAACATTCATCTGGTAGCCCAATTGGTAACACCCAACGAAGTGTAAATAACGTAGTGCAATTTGCAAAGGATGAGAGTATGGAACTGAATGGGAAAAAATGTAAAGAAATGCTAATTGATTTTCGGAAGAAGAAAACAGAAATACCACCGATTAATATTGGCGACGATAAAATATCCCGTGTAAAGTCGTATAAATTGTTAGGAATATGGATAGACGATGACATGAGATGGAAAACCAACACTGAGTACATTGTAAAAAAGGCGCTAAGCGACTTTACCTCTTGAAGATTTTAAAGAGTTATGAACTTATGGTGCACCAAAAAATGACCTATTAGCTTTCTATTGTACAGTAATTCGTTCTGTTCTAGAGTATGGTGCACAAATCTGGAGTGGGGGTCTGACACAAATGCATAAAAAAAACATAGAATCCAAAAACGAGCCCTCCGAATAATTTATCCTGGCCTTTGTGATTATGGACTTCTATTATCACAGAGCAATCTGCTGACCTTAGAAGAACGCAGGGACAATTTATGTGCCTCCTTAATTGAGGACATGTTACAACCATCACACAGACTTCACGGACTATTGCCAAAGAAACTGAGTGACATTAGGGAAAGAGAGACTAGGACAAATAGCGAAAAGATTTGTAACTTTTTTTGCAACACTGAACGTTTTAGAAACAGCCCTGTAGTTCATGCTATTAATGAATATAATTTTAAATTAGATAAGTAAGATTTATATACATATTTATACAATTCCATATATATATATAAACGATTTTAATATACATATAGGTCCATTGATGTAAATAGTTTTAAATCAGTAATAATTCTAATTAATTCTAATTAATGCTGACGATGTAAACACGTTGTAATTTAGCTTTTTGCTATTGAACGTGTATTAATAAACCCACTATTATTACTATTATTATTATAACAACTTTTCGTTTTAACGCTTCAACCATTTTGTCATACCAAGCTAATGATATAAAAGCACAGTAGTCTTTATCATGTTTAATACTTACTGAGATAACTCTCAAGGGAAATGCATGATGATTGATCATCAGGAGACAACCGAGCACAAATCTCTTCCACAGTTCTAACACCAAGTTTTTCTTTTTCAGCACATTCACCAAGAATTTTTAAACAATCACTCCTATTCAACCAAATACAAAACATAGGTCAAGTACATTGTATACAGTATGTACCTGTACAGTATCTGAGCATTCTGCTCTGAGAATATAGCCTACTTAATTTTTCCATTGTAGCAAAACACTAATCAGTGAGTCAGTCCTTGCAGGTGACGTCACAGCACTCTAAATGTGACATACAGTAATTGCTTATGGGCTTCAGCTACTGTCCAACATTTACATTGGGCAAAAAAAAATGTGGGTTTCCGGTTTCCCGACCCTACCTAGCTTTTGGATGTCGAAATCCCGACCATAAACTTTTTTATTGGATCATGCTTGTAAGTGTTTCCACTTGGAGGAAAAAGTTTGTGGAAAATTGAAATTTGAGGCAATATTAGGGAAATTTATCTTTGGATGTGAAAGCACTGACTAAACAAAATGGCGTCCGCTTGTTCAGAAAATTAAAAAAAAAAGTTTAAAAAAAAAGTTAAAACCGACCTACCCTACCTAAGTTTTTATAAGAAGAAACCGGAAACCCACATATTTTTTTTTGGCCTTGGCAAACATTTAAAACTTACAAAATACAATCTTATGTTGCTTTTGTTTGAATGGCCATTTTCTAACAAATTCAGACAGTCCTTTTCCAGAGACTGGTTTGCTTGCCGCCACATGTTTGCCAGCCAAAAATATTAGTGAATTATTTTAGGGCCATTCCATATGAGAAGAAAATCACATATTTTGAAACCAATAAATTAATATGTAACAACTTATGTCATTCATAAAATATTAATGTTATGCCTTATGTCATTCATGAGTTGAAATAGCCAGCATGGCCAGCTCTTTTATAAGTAGAGCCTGCCCGAAAGCCCTAGTCAAATTGATGACTCTCGGCAGCCAGCCGCCGAGAATTGTGATTGGCTGAATTTACGTTGAACCACAGGTTGATTGACATGTTACGCTAATTTATTCAAATATTTAAAAATAACTACTGTAAAAACAAACGGCATCGCTATATTAAAGTTGTAAACCTGTCGGCTAAAATATAAGATTCAAAAGACAAAGTGTAAAATGTATACCATATACCGGTATCTAAACAGAATAAGGCAAGCCATACTGCTGTTACTGCATACAGTGTATGTCGTATGATTAAACCGTATGGTCACTATAGTATAGAGTCTGCAATCCTTCGCCCAGCGGCTACGCTCGTGTTCCAAGATCCACCATGTAAGTGTAGTGAAATGTATCTCATCGTAATCTTAAATCCTAAGAAAACTAAAGCCTCTGTGGAGGAGAGAGGTATAGAGTATAAAACCTTGGCTGTCCTTGCCTTGTTTATATTTTGCTGGCTGGCAAATTACGATTATATAAAATAATACATTCCCCATTGTGTTTAATACACCATAATAATACGAAGCTCTCTTTGGAGCTTTTAAAATACATTTGCCTGCCAACGTGTATAACACGGGAAGGGGTCTATTTACTTTTCCTAAGTCATTTATTATATTTTATACTGCAATATTTGTAACTGTAGTACAGCCATACAGGTGCAAAGCATAATATAATTTTGAACGGTCTTCGTCTACTATTAATTTCCAGACAAAGTCGAAGGGCCTTCGCTCGAAATGCCGACGTTTTGCTTGTATTTCCAGGCAGTTGAATCGCTATCATCTATTCTAAAAAGTTTATTGAAAGCATGTAGCGCAGGCTATAGTAAAATATGCAACAATTGACATTTCAAGTCATCATTTATACAAAACTATTTCGAGTGGGCGGTGTTAATATGGAATATTAACTAAGTAGGCGGCATCAATTTGACTAGGGCTTTCGGGCAGGCTCTACTTATAAAAGAGCCGGCCACGCTGGCTAGAGTTGAAATGAACAAAATGTCTTTTTATTGGTTAATTTAAGATTCACAGAAATTAAGAAATAAAATTATGCATTGAAGTGGGTGGTTGTTTTAGCTGTAACATCCATAACAGTCTTGAAACAATTGCTTAACCATTTATAAAGATATATGACCATATATTTGTGTCGTAACTGATAAGGTGTTACCTGCATATGGTAGAGCCATGAGATTTAACATGACAAGGTCGAATTTGTAGTGCACAAGCTACAGCCTACAATAGAATAAAACAGTCCATAAACAAAACAGTCAGAAATATAACCAAACTTGAAATTCACTTTTTCTCACCTTCCACCACTCTGGCAAGCATGTGCTAATATCTTTCACAGGTACAACATCCATTGAATGGATTTCAACTCTTTTTTCCCGCAACCAGTTCTCGTAATCAGATTTAGCAGCATTATCTCTCTCTAAGGTACAACTACGGAATAATTCTGTATGCCTAAAATCATAAACGTGACTACTACAGGGTGTATCAAAAAAAGCGCAATCCTCGACTGAAATGTAAATTGCTAAACAAATAATAGACGAAAACGTTAAAGTTTACATTCATTTTAAAGCGTAGCCATTCAGCTTTCTAACAGTGGGTTGTTTGTTAAATTTGACTCATTGGTTCGCGGGTAATAATACTTTACGTTATTGCGATTGGAGATTAAAAAAATTGAGATGGAATAACAAATCGTTCTCATGAAAATAACTGATTTTTTCATTAAAACAAACAAATGTTGCATTTTATTAAATGGATTGTAACAATAAGTATAATTACGGCTTTTCTTCCACTATTTTTAACTCAGTTTGAAACTTCAAATGCGATATAATTTTGGCTTGGACCATCTAAGCTGACTGACATCATCTTGCTATAATTTCTGTTTACATTACATCGCAATTCGATGACACTCTGGCTCAGACACCAGAATGTTTTGACGATTTTTAGCATTCGTTTAGGATTTTCAAACAACCTGGTCTCTTTTAAAATACTTTTAATTTGTTCTTACGTGGTTTTCCAGATGTAGTGACGACAACATTAAAGTTTAAAGAAGAAAATTCTAACATTTAAACCGACTAAACAATAACATAATAAACTTGCATAATTAAACAGCAACTAAAAATGATAGGTTTTACTAAATCTTTTCCTGTGCAATTATTACCAGCATTGGAGACAAGGATAATAGTTTGTTTGAAAGAGAAAAGAACAGGCTTTGAAGTAAGCCTAAAAGCGTTTAACTAGAAATAGTATTTCGAAAGTTATTAAGCACAAAAGATGAATTGCGTTTATTTTGATACACCCTGTATATTAGTCATGAAACCTTTTATCACTTGAATGACTCTGAATTACTGTGAACTGAATATCTATATTTTTAAAACTTGTTCTGCAACACACATTAGCCAGTTTTGATTTAGGGAGCTAGTAATACAGTACATTACTGTACTTGATTCCCCAAGCATAATTGTGAACTGACCTGTGATTAAAGTTTGTACAAAAGCCAAGACCACTGCAACCAATATGACATGGTTGAGAAACTGCAATACAGAATAAGCAATCATTATTTAAAATCATGTGCAGACAGTGCAGTCGTCTATAGTTGTCTAAAAGAGCCTAGATATGAAATAATATATCTACTCTATTATTACTAACTTACCATCAGCGATGCAAGTTAACATAGTGGACTAAAAAATGCAAAAAATGGATTTATTGATTTAACAAAGTGCAAATAGAACTACAGTAAACAAATTAGCTACATTATCACACACTTTTGTGAATCAAACTCAAGCTAGAGGTGTCATATTCAGCCTTTTTGCTCAATATTTTAATACTAATTTTGAAATGAAATAACTGACACAACCAATGAAAATACTGTACATAAACATACCTCAATTGGGTCAAATTCACATCTTCTTTTGAATAGATCATCAGTTTTACCACCTTCAGAATATGTCGTCAAACATAACTTAAAACATTTGTCTGTTTTTGCACTTAAACAGCAATGTAGCCTAACATCCACTTTTAGTGGTTCTAAAATAACACCTGATTCTAAAAAATAATAAAACCATCACAATTAACTTTAAAACAGTAAAAAGAAAATCGAAATGTAATTTGCCAAAAGGTACACACCTCTTTCCGGGTCACGAACAGTCTGCATAGACTCTAAAAAACAAACTTAACCCATTGAGTGGTCTCCCCTTGACAGTAAAACTTTAATTTTAATTTCAAAAATACTTGAATTGACACATTTAATGCACTGCACAATACTCACTTGAATGAGTTAGTAAACATATCCCTAAACCACCCTGCAATGTCAAGGATATGTCTGTATTAAAACCTGCTGGGTATTTATTATGCATGTTGTATATATGTAATTGGTGTCTTAAAATATATACAAGAACAACAACTCACAGAAAAGGTTATTTTGCAGAACTTTCGCAGGACTTTAATTTTTTCCTCCAGTGGATTTTCAGAGGCCATAGCCTATGGAATTATAAAAGTGTATATTATCTCATACAGTACATGTTCCTGTAGTTCATGACATAAAATGGGCACTGTTAACGTTATACACTGTTTGTATGTCTTTACTGAGATAAATGAAGAAACATAAAAAACATAACCCTTTTTGGTTGCATGCTTCCTGATTCCATATACTTCATTTCCTTATTTTAGGAATGTATATGATAATATACACGTATTGCGCACTGTACGACTGTAGCAGGGGTGGAAAAGCCAGGCCTTGAAATAAGTGCCAGTCACTGACCGGTTTGACCGATAAATATCGTCGCGTGGCGGACGCAGTGGCGGAAACTTTGCGAAATTTTGGGGGGCGATGCCGAAGGCACGAGTTTTTTAGGGGGGTCTGGGGGCATGCCCCCCCAGAAAATTTTTAAAATTTGGACCCCTGAAATGGCATTTGCAGCATTCTGAGAGCGCATTTTGTAAGAAATTCCAGGTTTTCAAAACATTAAGTTAATGGTGAATTTTGGTTTAAATCATGTGGTAAACATAAAAAACCGGTAATCTGAACTTGCAGTACGTAATAAATATCTAAACCAGAGAAGTGAAAGAACACCTGAAAATTACTACCTATAGAATAGATACTGTATAGTCCGTAGTAAATTTGATACAATTATTTGCTATTGTTTTATGAACACTCGGGAAAATACTCTATATTATATATGCATGTATATCATAAATTTAAGAGCCTATATACTGCCGTAACTGGACACGATTAAGGTTACATCATTAGAAGCTACTGTTTTAGCCAAAATTCACCACCTTTTAAACATTGTGGTCAATTTTGGAGCTTCAGTGCTATGAATCGGATATTGAGCTGGGCTCGTAATAGCTTAGACAGTTTGTTGGCCAGTGACTTTATGTTGCTATCCATGAATAAAGACCTGTTAAAAAGAATAAACATGGACAAAGTGCTTGATCGATGGGTAAATCAAAAATCCCGAATCGTACAGTTTAAGTAAAGACTTGTAGCGCAGCTAGCGCTTAAAACTAATTTAATTTGACTTTTTTTCAGAATTCATAACACTCATTGTGTGACTTGTGAGATTATAAATGTAGAATACTTTTGCTAGTTTTTAGCTTGTTTTTATTAAAACTTACCATTTCGTTTCCTTATATTGTGCTTTCATTTTTCAAAATAAATTATGAAATCTAGCTAAAATATAATTTTAGTAAAATTTTGGGGGGGGGGCGATCGCCCCCCCTAGTTTCCGCCACTGGGCGGACGTGTGTGACCGGTAAATTTTACGTTCAAAAAAGTACGTTCAAAAAAGTACATTCAAAAATGGAGCTGATTTTTTATTTCCAATTTTCAAAAAAAGTGTATGTCCGTCTACGGTGCAGGCTAATAAGGGTGGCGAAGTGACACATTTCGTCATACAGATACGATATACCGATTCTGTATTGATATGCCTAATGGCTGTTTTCCAGTTACGCGTTTTTCACACATGCGACAGACAGAAAAGTTTAAATCTTTTAATATTTCATATAAGTGCAAATAACCGTAACAGATACATATTAAATCATACACAAAACTGAATGCTGACTTTTATAAATTTAGTTATTTCATAAGTAGGATGTAAAGCGATTTCAACTTTTACGTGCGTACACATGAAAAACGTATGAAAAACGCATAACTGGAATGCAGCCTTGAAGCATGCTCGCAACTCAAACTACAGTTGTCATTTGAGACTTAATTAATATATTAATTTGCTAGTAAACAATGTTAATGTTATTAGTAATCATTACTACTACAGCTTTGATAAACGCCATACTTCTACTTTGTATACAAATACAATTAAAATACACAATTGTTTCTAAAGTAACGAGTCATGCAAAAGATGAGGGGGGAAAAGAAGCTAAGGACGAGTGACAATGACCGGCATAAATTCCGCTGTGAACGGTAAATTTAGTGATCCACCGGTCATTATGACCGGTATAACGTCCAGATTTATTTCGAGGCCAGGTGGAAGCAGAGTATTGAATGAATATTTGGCATGCCTATCAGATGTTGGGATCCTAGGTATGCTACCTGCAAGTGTGTGAAGCTAACTGCAATCCTTGGTCAGAAGGTCTCATGCATGCTTAAGTAAAGTAGAAAATTTCGATGTTTCCGAATACATTCCGCAATATTTATCGACCAGACTTAATAAGAGTCGTACCCAAGACGTAAATTCTTAGTTTCCAAATCTTATTGACAATCTTGTCAGCTTGATATACGAAAATTTTCCAGCAATTGGGTTTTAGCAAATTAGTGAACACTCAATTTTGACAATATGAAACATAACTCAAAAAAATTTCTTCTGTGCCCGGTCCCATGTTGCAATTTGCAAGCTTCAAGCGAAGCGAGTAAGTTTGGACTACGCAGGGCTAACTGAAAATGTTTTTTGGCTACCTGCAAAAAAATTAAATATACAGGCATGATATTTGGAATACTTAATTAAATTAAAGTTTAACTATGAATTGTACGGCAACAATACGAGTATTTAGGATAGGAATGAATATTTATAGTATGGAATATGATTATTTAAAACAAAATTTGAACAAAATTACCTTTCTGCAAACAGTTTGACATTGCTCATCATCAGCCATACGACAACATTTGTGGTCTGCAATAATAACATTACCGCATATTTATAATTCGCCGAATTTTAATTTTCAAATGATAGAATAATTTGTGACTGGTTTATACAATCAAGGAAACAGGGGAATGCATCCTACCGTGCACACACATAATCAGGTGAGGTAGCCGATGGATATAACTTAAGCATTAAATGAATTGAATGAATTTATGCAATGTACAGTACTGTTCAGGGATGGATCCAGCATGATCTGGTGGGGGGGTGTGCTCTGGTGCCGACTGCCGAGTTGTGTCGGTCATCAACTACTAATTGCAATTGTTGTTCACAGTTCACTTATCATCATGTTATTACTCAAATTACTGTATCTCATTTTGTCTTTTTTGCTTTATCATGAAAAATAGCACACACCCCCTGACCAGGGCTAGGGGGGTGCATATCCCCCAGTAAATCCATCCCTGGTACTGTTCACAGGAAAGTTACCAGTCCCGTGCGGAATGCTATTCCGAACGGGAATCCCATTCCATGGGACAGGATTTTGTTGCGTCACTTGCGTGGGACGGGAAAGCACTTAGGAGAAAATAATATATGTAGAAATTTGGGATAGATCAAAATATGCTATTTTGATTCAGTTTGTGCGTGTCAAAATGGGAAGGTTAAACCACCACAGCAAGGAACAAATAGTAAAATTAAAAGAAGAAGGCTATAAGACATTGGAAATATTACAAATTTTAGAAAGCGAAAGTGTTGAGCTTTCAAGAGTAGGATTGTGGAAGTTTCTACGACGCTTTAAGCAAAACCAGACACTGTCGACGGTAGCATGCACTGGGCACCGCAAAGAAAAGAAAGCGTTCCTATAGCTGTTTTGGATTTTATCGATGTTGAAATGCAAAAAGTTCATTCTGTCCAAACACTTCACTGCTCTGTGTGTTCACATTGAAAGAAAAAGTCTCAAAATGCTTCGCAAACCGACTAAATAGTCTAAAGTGTCAACGTATGCGGCTGCATATTTTCCGGTGGACGATTGCGTGTCAGGAATAGTGACAAAAGATGTTGTTATGGTTGAAGGTGGCGGAAATTAAACGGAAATCTAAAGTTTTTGTTCTGTTGAAGCGCGAAAGATTTCTAGCCTCATATTATATTTATTGGTAAGTATTCAGAAACCTAGTTTAACAAATACCAGCAGCCTATAAGTCTTGCTAACGAAGCCGAAATTTCTATAGGTATTAATTACTCAGTATACGAGATTGACATTTCTAAAACTCCCCTTATATTTTTCAATTGTGATATTTACTGCTACAGATTTATATTTGTTTTTATATATCGTTTATAGCATTGGCTAAATCACAAAACATCTCCTAACATTTGTCAATTTTATTATTGCAGTTACTGTAACGTTGTACTTTAAATCCGGATTTTAATATTCGCAGGATTGGATTCCCGTCCGATGGAACGGGATACAGGACTGTTAACTTTCCTGTGATCAGTACTGTAGGTTCATGTAGGTTCATGTCTTAAGTTAAAGATTCAAACGTCAGCTTTCCAATAAATATTTTAAACTATATTTTTGTTATGGCTCTTTTACATATTTTCTGCCGGGCATTAATATTTATCTCAAGATTACGATTTCCGCCTGGTTCATCTATCGCAACCAATACATTACCTGGTGTTTTTGACAATGCGACTTTACGTCTGACACACTTATCTACACGAAGGTTTTTTCTTTTGCAGTGTCTTTTCACAAGTTTGAGCTTTTTCCTACTAGGCACCTTGTTTGATGCAAAAACCTAAAAGAGGGAACATATTGACTATGCTATACCTTATTCTATAAATTAAGAAATACAATATTGACATTGAGTATGTACATACAGCTATACAGTACTACCAGGCTCAGTTTTATATATCGTATGATCAAGTTTTTAAAAATTATTAATGAACTACAGTATATACAGGTAGGTAGTTTCTGCCTGTGCTTCTATGTTGATATTGAAATGTGCCAAGTTGCCAACTTACATTTTGGCATGCTCTTTCGCACTTTCTCTTTCTTGATGAACAGCATGTTCTACTTGCTAAATAAAAATTTAAAAATTAACCAAAAAATCTAAAATATATACTTCTCACACACCGCTTGGAGCTGCTGCAGCGTCAGCCGCAAGCTTGACTTTTTTTAAACTACCATACATTACAATTGCTCGCTACATAATTACTATAACAAGTACATATACCCAGTCCAAAACCGTTCTGTTCCTCTACTCTCTACTAATAAACATTAAAGGGCTGGCTGGGTGGGTGGGATACTGTCAAGCTACATTGAGCAACAACAAAAATATGCCCAACTAACCTGCACCACCCTATAACACCCTGATTTCATCAGGCCCCCAGCAGTGTGTGAGAACACATTTTCCACTTCTTTCGTGCCTCAGCCAGCGGAAAATAACACCTAAACCACTGGCAATTGACCTTCATCTGTTTATTTACTTTTGATACAGTACATATACTTTTGATACAGTACATATAAAATCATGCTAAATTGCTTATTAGGTCATTCCAGCAATGATCCACCCTTTCCCATCAATGGAAATATCTGCAGTCTGGATGGGGGATTTGGGGGGAGAGGATGTACTTCAGGTAATAATAAAATGCACTGACAATTAAGTTAAGTACCATCATTTCTTTCAACACAACGCAGCAAGGATTCCTGTTGGTAGAAATGAATAACTTTTATTAAAATTTACAGACTATACAGGGCTTGAAACTTGCGGTATCCCGATATCCACAGGATATCAGATTTTAATTTTGGATACTGGGTATTGAAATTGCAATAGTAGATAATCATCTAGACGTTTGGCATGTTTCCGAACTTCAATGTCTACGGATTTTGGTAGAATATTTTAAAAAAAAATTTCACAAACGGTGCTTTCTTTCGTATCGCCGCAGTGTGTCATTTTCAATTTTTTCGAATTTCAATACATATTTTTATTATTGAAACTAAAGGCCTGGTTTTTGCTCAGCAACTGAAGGCCTGGTTTCAAGGTAAAATTTTGCCTTGCTTAGATACTGGAAATAGAATATCTAGTATCCAGATCTGGGTTACTATATTTCAAGGATGGATACTAGATTCTATGATGCTGGTATCCACTTGGATACTGACAAAAATTTCAAGTTTCGAGCCCTGTTATAGTAAGTATTTGAGTGGTTGTATAATAGAATATTGAATGAGTTTAGTTTTAATATGCACTAAATATTGCACCCGGCCATATATTTAAATACCTCGTCCTTTGGTTTGCAAGATTTCTTAAGATCCTCACTATCACTATTGGTAACCAAGAAACAAGCCTGTCTGCATGATGGATGAATTCCAAGCAGGCAACAACTTTTGCCTTCTTTTAATAAATTTGAATGAGCATAGAGGTGAAGACCTAAAAATAACAATGGAATTATTTAGGATCTACAAACCACACTTCTGCTTTTTGTTAATGCATGTTTGCACTTATATAAATTGTACTTTATTTTTCAGTAGCTTTCACCAGTCACACATCAATCACGTTATCATTTAGTAAACAACTATATAGGATTGCTTCAATACGAAATATTGCCCAAGAGCCTTTTGTCATGATTTAACGAGAGTTTGACTAATGGTCGCGTGTCGCGGGTACTGAATGTCACGGGTAAAAAGTCGCGGGTCGTAAAAGAGCTCCAAACCGTGTATTTTATTGAGTCGCGGGTTGAATAAAGTGTGTAAAAATCACGTTGTCATTTAGTAAACAACTATATAGGATTGCTTCAATACGAAATATTGCCCAAGAGCCTTTTGTCATGATTTAATTGTTCTATATAAACGTGCCAGAAGTCTAAAACTTGAAAGAATAATTTCAATTATACCATGACAAAAATCCTCTAATCAAAAAATATGTTCTGAAAGAGACAAACAAGACTTTGGTAGAAATAAATTCAGTTTACCACTACTATTACAATCAGCCTATACCAATTTAAAAACAACCATATAGTATCACAAATAATAGATATATCCATGCTAGGACATTATAAAAGTACATTATGATTCACCAACAACCAGGATATTTAAGTCACTGTAATGTTCTCTGGCACTTGTTTCTGGAAAGTACTGATCGATGCGCAGAGGCTTGACGACAACGCGTACTGAGCCACTGAATAGCGAATTTTTACGCGTGATATGGCAGAAATTGGATGGTAATATGTATTACTAAAATCAGGACTATAAACATAGGAATGTGTAACAGGATCCTTTTGCACTACCGTCTATCAACGTGCTTTACAATGTTATATAGTTACGGGAACCACTGAGTATTTTAATAAAATACAAAAGGACAGTAACTCCAAATAACATTTTGTAGCTTTAATGAATCTACGTTTTGACTATATTTTAGTCATCATCAGGACAGATTAGTATAAAGTTACAAATACTGATATATATGTATATATATACTGATATCTATATTTATCTAGAAACTCGCAATTGCAGCCATAACATCTTCGAACAACTATTGATAAAAAAATATATTAATGTGATTTTTACACTTTATTCAACCCGCGACTCAATAAAATACACTGTTTAGAGCTTTTTTACGACCTGCGACTTTTTACCCGCGACTTTTTCCCCGCGACACGCGACCATTAGTCAAACTCGTGTTAGTGGGTATTAAAACCAGACAGTCTGACCATGCCTCTTCCTGGACCCACTGAGGCCATAATACTCCAACTTTTATCTACACTTTCTTCTTTTAGGCTACATGTAAATTATTTCACTGGGGGAAGTTAATGAGTTAATGAGAATGGAAAATTAAACTTCCCTCAGGGTTGAAAAATATATTTTGTTTTATCAAGCTTTGCAGAACAATATTAGAAAAGTCTAGAGCAGCCCACTTTAGTTCTTGTCTGTATCACTCAACAGCATATATCAGATAGATAGACTTAGAGAATTCTTTAAGATCCAAAGGAGAATTAAGATTAGGTAGGTGTAAATAGGAAATGACATACAGGATACATCTTAAACTAAATCCTAAAAATGCACACCTTTTTTAATCCTCTTAAAAACATCACTGTCCTTTTTTGAGCTACTCATGCAATGAACTTGAATTGGGGTGGGTTTATATTAGAACTGTTGTGGTAAATATAGTGTAGACGCAGTAATTTTAACACAATAGTTCTGAAATGTATTCTAAAACAACAAGTTTTGTGCTAAAATAAATTATCTTTGATATTCAAATTCGCAATGGCCCAGCATGATACGTTGCGATCAGAGTTAAGACATTGTCTGAGCTGTACATAAATCCTTGCTTCAATTAGTCTCAACACAATATGAGCAATTCTTTCAAACAATTTCAAACACACAATGTGTTGTGAATATCAATCGAATTTGATTACCTTTTCAATAAAAGGGGGCTGCGTTGTGGTAATAGCTCAATTTAAAAGCTGTATGCAAATTTACTAAAACAAGATCTTATCGTCGCTATTCAAATCAGCCCTTCTATCGAAAAGAACCCAAACACTCGAATTTCGTTTTATGATGGAACTAAAAAGCAAATACGGATAACGGTTTGATACATATTACAACTCGCTAAAAGCACTGCTTTTAAAATATTAATGTGAGAAACCGCAACAAACAATAAATAAATGCTGTAGGGCCAGTTTTTGTCAGCCACAAAACAGTGTGTTGTGGTCGATAATGGAAGCTATCAGTGTCAGTAAAATAATATCGAATACACATTTGCCAGACAAGAAAAACATTGCAAAACTGTGGCAATATGTGTTACAAAATATACTTTGGTATACAGATTTTAGGGAATTAATTACCCAATGCTCTTTGTACAAAATATCACGGAATACTTTCTAATAGACAGATACAACAGAGCCACATGCCAGAATCTTTAAAGCTTTGTATAAAGAATTTCACTAATGCACAATATTACTATATACAATATTGCTATATAAAGCCATGTCTGGTATACAGTCTCAGTCTGTAGTGTATCAACTCAAATAACTCGTAATAAAGTAACACCTTGAAGATTTCAAAATCGCTAACACTCGAGACATCAAACAAAACAAAGTGAATCGACCGCCGGCTTATGTTTCACATGCCTTGGTGCTAAAAGCTGGACAAAGAAAAAGTTTTTGAAAACAGCCATGCGTAAAAAATGACCAACGCGGCGAAGTCACATAATGTTGCAAATTTATAAACAAATGTAAATTTGAGAATGTTCATGAAATTAACACCTCCGGCTTGATGGCACAGTCAAAATGTTTTGCCGAGGAGAAATAATGTCCAAGACAATTAAATCTCCATTACTGATCACCCTGTGTTTAACCCGCACAACGTATGATGATCGAATAAACGTTGATAACTTGATAATTTTTCCATCACATACATACGAAACTCTTCCCCTCCTCATACATTCGATCATTCAGCGAACACTTGTGAAAATAATCAAAATAATAGCGAACATAGTCACGCAAACACTTACGTTTGAAACAGTTTTTACAATAATAAACCGGCATACTCAAAGCGGGTGGGTGTCATACATCAGACCATTAAGTTAAATTTCCCTTCCCACAGACGTTTAAATATTCGCAAAGTCATTTAGAAATAGGGATCAATTGATTTTCGTATATAATTGGTCTATTCTTTTCGGCTAATGCGTTATTTGTAGAACTCCTTACGACACCAGCGTAAGGCCAGCCTTTCACAGCATGCTAACAACGCGAACAAAATCGTACCTTTAATCGACGAATTTAAACACTTCCATAAAGAAACCTATGAAATTCAAACAGGACGGACTTTAGTAAAAGGTTTATGTATAATACAGTGTATCTATTACACAACGTCCAGCTGCAACTGTAATATATCGGACAACACTGATTTTATTCGAACGCCATTGTCTCATGAACTTACCAGATGTGACGGGCAGACTTTAGGTAAACTGAGAGCAAGCTGTAGTTTCTTTGCCGGGTCTCGCTCATTCCATGCCTAAACGCACACAAAAATATCATTACTCATTCGATCACTTCTTTATCTTCATACCGCTGTACTGAGGTTTCTGTGCAGTAATAATATAAAAATCTTACATCGAAATATTATAATGCGTTGCTGACCCTGTTTGAATGCGTGTCAACAATCTGCTATTCGTTAGCAACATTGAACGACTCATTTGGGTCAAGAAATTCGCATCTTTGAGCTTCGATCTTACACTTAAATTTAGGTTTATTATATAAGTTCCACGAGACAGAGCGGTCGGAGTACAGAATGCAACGGTGTGAGGGGAAATCTATCGAAATTTTGGGAAATTTATCGAGTATTAAAGATGCGGAGAGTTTATAATACAATACCTTTTCACATTCGTCCTTGCACTCCCGAATACCTCGTATATTCTTACAGCATTCGGCTTCATATACGTGTTCTTTGATGGAAAAACAAACGCATTAATGTTTGTGGGTAAAAGAAAATTAAGAGGGACGAAACCTTTATGCAAGTAATAAATACACAATAGTGCAAACCACAATGCTACCGGAAACTACCGCGTTTCTCCAACAATCTTTTGAGACTCAAATGAGATTACAGTTAGGTTTTAAATGAAAGGGTAAACTTTCCAATTCTATACCAATAATATTTTAAACACACAATTATTTTAGCTAACACGCTCTAATATTGGGCTAAATTGAAAAGCTTGTGAGCGAACTATCGAAGTATAGATTCACTGACGCGTGAAATAGGAAATACAACAAAGGCAAACATCGAATAACTATTAGATTTGTAGCAACTGTAGTCGCCTCTAAAGAGTAGTTACAGCAGTCTAACTCACCTCTGGCACTCCCCAGAACAACGAAGGTGCAGAACACGGTTAAAAACAACGCGTACATGTCGAACGTTGACAAGAAATTGAAGGGATTATTTTCAACCCCATGGTACAAGCCTACTTCAAGTGGCCGTAACCTGCATCATGGCCGAACATACTAAAAGTGCTTGAGATTACCCGCCAATCAGAATCAAGGAGCATTAGCTGTGAACGCTGTGATTGGCTGCTCACCTTGGTGCTAATTAGACCTTTGACGGCTGTCTTTGTTATGAAAGACGTAGAAGGTTTAAGCTTAGTGCTTTGCTTCTATTTGACAGCTAGCCATGACAGATAACATACCGCAGAGCTTTATTTGTTTTCTATTGTCTACCGCAGCTAGATTTTCATAGTAGTGTTTACAGACTAGCCTTCGTTTCACAAAGTACACGGCCATTTTTTTCTTAATAACAAACTGGTGATCTTAATGAAAAGACGTTAGCGGCTAATTGATCGATCGCGAATCGCTGGCCATTTTTAGATAGCCAGGAACGGGAAAGGTGTCCATTAGCGAAACCCCAGAAATTATTTTGAAAGTAATTCGACACCACTGATAAAGAGGCCAAAATTTTCGCCTGCAATAAATAACTGTTAAAACGAACAAAATCAATTTACGCATCAAATTACAATTGATAATATTACTATCAAGTATCAAGCGCAAAACACAATGATACAAGATCACATAATAGAAGGAATATTTTTCAGACAAACGCGTCAATGGACATACTAAGTAGATCTCACACGTGTATGTACACAAACACAAGTCACAAGCAAGCAAGCATAAATTAAGATATTTATATGTTCACTCCGGCAAGGATTTTGTCCATCAACAACATTGCGTGCCGTGCTACAGTTTGGTAAAAAAGAGCGAACGCGAGTTTTCAGTTATAATGAAAATAAGATTGCACAATCGCGATATCTGAACATAGGAAACATAAAAAACGCTCGCTCAACCATAAAACGAGACGGATGTTTAAATTTTTAACTTTGTTTGTCAACTAGAGTGACATTTGAGATGATTAGAAAATGCAAGTAATTTACTTATTTATGTCTGTGAGTGTGACACCTGCATTCTGTCTTCTGCCAAGCACTTCAGGTTGCAAAATTCAAAATGACATGCATGTTCATGTCGGATTAAGATGTCCAGAAAATTTGGAGCCAAGTTTTGAAGAAGATTTATTTCATTTTGAGTCCGTGATATATAATATATTACGTATATAGTTTATAGTACGTAGTAAAAAGTAAAAACTAAAATTGTCCGAAAATAGCAAATAATGTCTCAAATCTATTCATCTTCTGATCAGGCGAACGGCGAACCACATTATATATTCATAAAATACGTTTATAATATTATAACGGCTAAACAAATACTAAATGCTAATGTTACTTATATATTCTAGACTGATCCTGAGCTAGCAGCAGGCATTAAAATACGGAATTTTTACAAGGACACACTTTGCCTTCAGAGGCGTATTTTGGGTATAAATGCGCAGACTCACGAGAACGAGTGCTTTTAAGGGGGTCTCTGAAATGGCATTTCCAGAGTTCTGAGAACAGAATTTGCAAAATCTTTGGCTATTTTGCGTGGATTACATTAATATATTTTCAGTTTAATATATTTTCACTACACACTTTTCAATTTACAAGGGTACATTCGCCTTTTACAAGGACACAAAGTCAAAGTGTGTACAAGGACAATTTTTTTTTGCACTATGCCTTGAAAGATTTTTTTTTGGTTTTATATAGTGAATATTGTTGGCAACAATTTGTTGCTACATTATTTTATACTTCAGACTTGGACAAGAAATGGAATTATTTATTAAAACAGCAACCACTTCATAACAACACCCTTTTAATCAACACAAAGCATATCTCCTCTTTAAAAACAGCTGATCAGTTATAAAACAGAACCAGATCATAAGCCCAAGGCGAGGGTACTAATCCAGCTTGGCTATACCGACACCGGCGAAAAGCAAAGTTAGGAAAGGGATATTTAAACCGCTGACTAGTGTTACGCCCGCGAATATATAGGTGATTGTGGTTATTAAGATTGGTATTAAGGCATTGATTTCGTGAGCACCAGCGTTGCCAACTGTAATTTTGTAAAAATACCAAGTAAGCTCCCAATTAAAATATCCCGAGATTCCCTTAAAAATCCCGATATTCCCACTTTTTACGTCATTATAATTTAGGTGGTTTTCGCGCCAATTTTGGGTAAGATAGCGGCTCGCACGTCATGTTGTAAAAACCCTTAAAGCTTGCATCAAATATGCAGCCCAATACTCAATAGGGTTTAAATACGAGCGGACAAACCCTAGATTTTTAGCAAAATTGTCTATTTCTAGTCAATTTTACCAAAAAATCAATTTCTAAACTTCGAACTTCCCTTTCTCAAAAATCAAAAAAAAATCCCAACTGCTTCACTAAAAAATCCCGAGATCTCTGGATAAAATCCCGGACTTGGCAACGCTGGTGAGCACCTTGTAACATAGAAGTAGGGACGTCGCGACCGGGGTGTGGGAGGGGGTTGTAAAACCACCTCCCAACTGTGAAACTCAGGTAAAAAAAATCAGGTAAAATTCAACGGTTAAAATTTTGACATTTTCAGGTAAAATTCTCATAATAAAGTAACAATTTTTGTAAAATACAGTCAATTTACATCCAATTCGTTTGCGAATTTGCTTTAGAAAATGCCAGAAATGCAGTTCTAGAGCTTCAAAAATGTAAAAATTTTTCCAGACATTCAAAAAAATTTTCCGGACAAAAAATTTTTTCGGACAAACTTCCTGTTAAAACATGCATGAAACTCTTATTTTTTTAACAATATCTGAAATTTAAAATCTTTCATTGCCCTGCCCATCCAGATGATTTAAAATTTTCGACTAGATTTTCAGTAGTTTTGCCCGACCTTTTCTTAGTTTTTGCCCGACGAGAGTACCGTTTCGAAAGATTGGTGAGACATCCCCCCC